TCTGGAACTCACTTTCTTCCTGCTTTGGCTACTTGTCAGAGGCCCGTGCTGCCAGAACTGCCTTAAGTTGTTCTTTTAATTTTCTCCTGTGAATTTCAGACTCAGTGGCATTTATTATTGAATGCCTAGACTTTGCCAGCTAGAGTGAGAGACACGGTCACATATATGATTTTGTTCCCATGAACAGTGCTTTGGGAAGAGTTTCAGGCTAAGGGAACATGTTCAGAGTACAGGAAACCTCCTTGCCTGAGGTCACCGAGGCTGGAACCCTCAGAGCCAGCTGGCAGAGTCTTGGTGTTAGTGTCAAGTCCGTTACCATTCCGCCACAGAACCTGGCCTCGAGATAAGCAAGTGCTGTTTCAGCCATCATTCAGTGGCCGCCTCACAGTGACTATCAGTGAGTAGCCATTACTCAGTGTTCATCACATGGTGGTCATTATGCAGTGACCTTCACGAAGTGACCGTCACATGGTGTCTATCACACAATGGCCATCACTCAGTGGACATCACCCAGTTGTGAGTATCTCAGGTCATCTGTGAGACGACCCCAGATTTCCCCAGCTTTTTTCTTTCTGGATTTGGTGTCCACTCTACCCCTTATTGGGACTTCTACAGGCCAAGGAGCTAGAGCTGTGGGAAGTTCTCGGGGGGTACACTCTTGGGTGTTGGGAGGATCGAGGCGCCGGTTCCCACCTAGGAATCACCAGTGGGCTGCAAGCAGAGCCAGGGGTCACCACTGCTGCCCCAACAACACAGAGGCCTTGGGACCTCTCCTGCTGCTTCTAAGTGGATTGGCACAGACTGTGGCTTAGGAGGGGCTGGCTTCCTCTGCACTGGCATCTGAACTCAGTGCCAACAACGGTCTAAGGGAGTGGAAGAAAAGTGAGAGGCCTGTTTTCATTTGCCTTTGTTCTCCAGTGGTTTGGTTAACTCAGGGCAAGGCGGAATAGCAGGGTGTTACACTGAAGAATAAGAGCCCAGCCAGCAAATGTTAGTTACCTTCAGCCTTTCCTACTTCCTAGTAAAATGTCTGCCTTGAAAAATGTCTCTCGGTAGAATCATTTTGCTCCTAAAGGGCAAGCATGGGGAGGGGTGTGTGTATGTAGTTCAATGGCATACAGTGGCCACCACTGTAGCTGAAGTTTTCCTGTGTCCCACCTGGTCCACAACCGCTCAGACCCAAGTAAACACACAGAGGCTTATATTAATTAAAACTGCTTGGCCATTAGCTCAGGCTTCCTACTGACTAGCTCTTACACTTAAACACAGCCCATTTCTGTTAATCTATATGTCGCCACATGTTCTGTGGTTTTACCTGTATGCCGTTACATGCTGCTCCCTGGACGGTGTGTCCTGACTCAGCCTTCCCAGAATTCTCCTTGTCTGCTTATCCTGTCTATACTTCCTGCCTGGTGGCCAATCAGCATTTTATTTACCAACCAATCAGCAATACATTCACAACATACAGAGCGTTATCACCCATCACACCACTGATAAACAGGACAGCACCGAGGGATCCTTAAGATACTAATGTTCAGTTGGAAATTACTGGAAGGGCACAATGCAGTTTAAGGTTTAGAAAGCCTGTATCCAGTGAGCAGCCAGCCCGGAGCCCGAGACAGGTCTTGATAGCTCACTGTAGGGCCACATGGTCGGTCGGTTGGTCGGTCGGATGCTCCCTGGTCACCTGAGGGATATACATGCTGAAAGCTCAAGCTGTGCTGACACTCCATGCAATTCAGAGTCTGCTTCTGCTGTGCACCTGGAGGATTCCAACAGCCCAGACACCCAGGGCCACACCAGGACTTCCTGGAGGATTCCAACGGCCCCCACACCCAGGGCCACACCAGGACTTCCTGGAGGGTTCCAACAGCCCCCACACCCAGGGCCACACCAGGACTTTGGGGCCTTTTGCCTTTGTAGTCCCTTAGTACATAAACAGAATTAAAACCTAAACTCAGGGGCTGGAGAGACGGCTCAGTGGTTAAGAGCACTTGCTGCTCTTGCAGAGGACCTGGGTTCGGTTCCCAGCACCCACATGGCAGCTCATAACCACCTGCAACTATAGTTCCAGGGAGCAGATGTCCCCTTTCTGACCTCTGAGGGAACTGCACACATGTGGCACACATACAAACATTCACATATATTAAGTAAAAATAAATAAATCTTTTAAAAAGTCCAGACTATACAACTATACTAACTACATCCACAGATGTCATCAAGACCTGATTAGGAAAGCTGACACATTTTCATGAAGCCTTGAAAACACAATGAGCCCAAGCCACCATACTTACTGAAAACTAGGGGGGTTTGCTAACCCTGCTGACCCATATACGCCTCAGAACTGGACACTACAGGAATGTGTCTGAGCTCTGCTGGCCTCTGCAGAGCCCAGGGACTTATTGGTATTAGTCATTCGGGTGTGGTTCTCTAGATGCAGGATGGTGTGGGGACCAGGTCATGCTAGCTTTCAGTGTGCTCACCCTCTGATAACCCTTCGCAATCAGCCAGGAGCTCACACTCACTCCACAAAATCATGGAATCACCTCCCGTCGCCCGCTTTTACCAATATCTGTCTGAACTCCTCCCAGGTCTTTATATAACATCGTTCCTTCCCATAGACTGAAAGACATCCCTGCAGATCCCTCTAAGCTTTTCTGAGCCCAGCCAACACAGTCCATTCTGTGTCAGCCCATGCCTTCAGAGAAACTAAAATGCCTCTGAGAAACTTACCTAGAAACAACATTTTCCTGAGAAGTTTCATGAAATAATGCTGGAAACGAAAATGTTTTTGTTTCCTATAAAATCAGGAGAAAGCTGTAACCCAGCCCTGACTTTATGGGTGTTTATAACGACGCAGCTTTCGAGAGCACTGTGACTCATCAGAACTGCCTGTACAGGATGCCTACAGGACACTGAACGCTGGAGTGATTGGTCTCAAGTTATCTATTCTTTTCTACCCTATGCCTTACAGACCTCAGCCCTTCAGACTGCTTCTATGACTCACAGCTGAGTCATGCATAACAAACCAAAAAGCACCTGAAGAAAAAGAGCTCTGTTTCCGTGATGGACATAACTTTAAAGAACAGAAAACTGAGCTCTGGCCATGGCACGCTCTGTGCCAATACCACTGGTGGAGCATTGCCTATTCTGCCTATTCTCTTTTCTCTCTCTCTCTCTCTCTCTCTCTCTCTCTCTCTCTCTCTCTCTCTCTCTCTCTCTCTCTCTCTCTCTCTCTCCTGCCTAATCAGAGTTAAGAGTGTTTTGTGCTCCTTACCTGCTGAGCACTGGCCCAAGTTTTGTGAATGAAGCAGTGACGGCATAAAATTCCCTATCCTCATGGAGTTACGTTGTGCTAGCGGGAAGAGGGGTTTGGAGAATATTATTTTAAGGTGTGTTACTTTTGTTTATGTTTCATTTGTTTAACTCTGTGAAGCTGTGTTACTGTGTCTGTTTAAAACACCTGATGGTCTAATAAAGCGCTGAATGCTCAATGGCGAAGCTGGAGAAAGGATGGGCGGGGCTGGCAGGTAGAGAATAGAGAGGAGAAATATGGGAGAGGAGAAATGAAAGAATAGCCAGAGAAGGAGGAGCCTTGAAAACACAATGAGCCTCAGCCACCACACCTACTGAAAACCAGGGGGGTTTGCTAGCCCTGCTGACCCATATAACGCAGGACTCCAGGGGCCGGCCACTCAGCTACACAGCAAGCCACAGAGTGAGATTTACAGAAGTAAGAGAATGGGAAAAGCCCAGAGGCAAAAGGTAGATGAATAATTTAAAGTTAAGAAAATGGGCAAGCAACAAGCTAAGGCTGAGCATTTATAATTAAGAATAAGCCTCTATGTGTGATTTATTTGGGAGCTGGGTGGCAGGCCCACAAAAGAGCAAAACCAAACAACAGAGGGGACCTCTGAGGGCTAAGAGAAAAAAAAAAAAAACCAGCCATGCAGCTGGTCAATGTCCACATATGTGTACGTGCAGGTTGGTCAATAAGCCCGTGTAGACACGAGACAGATCTCCCTTTCCACCTCCCTTCTCATTGTAGCCATTACTGCCTAGTGGTTTAAAACATCCCATCAGAATGTATGGAGCAATATGTAGGAGACAGAAAAGCTAAAAATATCTAAAAAGCCTCAACTCTGTAACATTTGGGGTAACTCTAGATTTTGCATAAGTCTGTAAGAAGCCTGCTGGCTGGTTCAATAAACTATGTCCTGTTAAAAGAAGCCTCAGGACCTCGAAAGCTTGCAGCAACATGCTGATTGGGAAAGATAAACAATAATCGGACAGGCAAATATACATGGGCCAGTGAAGAGCAGTTCTGCAGGTCGGGACCAACCCATCCTTAGGAATAACTGTTACTGGTGCTGGGCAATCAGTGCTGAGACTGGGAGAACGGAACAGTGAGGCTCTGCTGGGTGCCCTTCAGTGCTGGGCACCCTTCAGTGCTGGGCACCGGTCCTGCCTTCTACACCACACACTCTCCACGCCTACTCTGCCCTGGCAGTCCTAAGGCTGCCATAGACAGTGGGAAACAAACGGCTTGGGAGAGGTCCAATAAAAGTTTACAAGAACAAGCCAGCATCACGGCACACGCTTTTAATCCAGGCTTAATCCAGGCGCTCGGGAGGCAGAGGCAGGTGGATCTCTTTTGAGTTTGAGGCCAGCCTGGTCTACATAGCAAGTTCCAAGCCAGCCAGGGCCACACAGTCAGCTCCTGTTTCAAAAACCAAACCAAACCAAAACAAACCCCTAAAAAACAAAAAACCAACACCAAAACAAACAAACAAAAAACCCAAAATAAATAAAAAATAAAATTACATGAATAAGCAGCAGATTGATCACTGCTGATTAAAGCTGATGGAGGAACTGATTCCTGCTGGAAACATGTGGAACTCACACTTAAGACAAGCTGAAAAGACCAGATGGGTAAGGAAAAGCCAAGGGGCTGAGGTCTGCAAATTCAAGCCAGTTTGGCTATAGAGCAACATACTGGAAAAAGGTGACCACGGAGAAATTTTATTAGGAAAAGCCATCTATAAACACGCACACCCTCAGCATCTGCTGTTCCACCTTTTATTTTAAAATCATACGATTTAGAACCAACCTGTTTAGTGCAAACCTGGACTCCCAGCACTTGGGGAGGCAGGCCAGAGGATCTTGAATTCAAGGCCAGCCCGAGGGACACAGCAACACCGTCTGAGAAACAAACTCCCAGCTTGGCCAGGAAGCCTAGCTGGGGAGCGCAGAGGCCCTGGAGCTGAACCTACTACTACTCTTTTGTAAAGGAACAGAGTCATATTGCCTTCCAAGTCCTATCTAGATCGGCCCTGAGTCCTCATCAGAGAGGCTTCTTTGTGCAGTGAGTGGTGTTAATGAAGGGCCTGGAGAAACAGGGAAGAAGCCAGAGGCAGGGGGGTCTCTGTGAGTTCAAGGTCAGCCTGATCTACATAGAGAGTAGAGCTACGGCTACACAGTAGGATCTTGTTTCAAAACAAAACACACACCCCTCCCCACCAAAAGAGAAAGAAACAGGGAGGAAGAGGGGTTGGAGAAATTTTTACAAGCCAGGGGTCGGGGAGGACAGGGCAGAACCGTGCGTTGCACCATGGACGCGGCAGCTGTGGTGTGGCTGCCCCGACAAGAGCGAGCCAGTTACTATCACACGGGCCCTTGAGCCCCAACCCCTAGCCCATGAGCTACTGATAGTTGATGGCTCCTTCAGGAAGGAGAGTCAGTCTTCTTTAGGTGTATAGCCCCTGGGAGGCTAGCCAAGGCCCAGTGCACGGCCCCACACCATGCACATATTATGGGGAACAGTAATTGGACTCAAGGGGCTGAAAAACAAGAAAATAATAAAAGAATAAAGTTCAGAGGGGGATGAAGGAGATTGGAAGAAGCTGGAGGCAGGCAATGGGGAGTGAATATGATCAAAATATACTATACATATATGGCAGCCTCAAAAAGTAAAAACCACTACGTAAAAAGCAAACAAGTAAGTGTATCATACTACTTCTAAAAATGTTTAAAATTTTATTAAAAGTAATCTATTAGAATCACAAACTTTTCCCTTGTATCAAAAGCTGGGCCACCATCCTGGTGACTTGTGGATTCACCAAGCAGTCCAGCAAGTCATCTGTGGACACGAATGTTCGAGAAGGGGCCACGGGACACCTGGAGGTGACCTGCTCGGCCACCACACCTGCCCCTCTACTAGTCTGTTGCCTCCTGGCACAGGACAGTTCTGCAAAGCGTTCTCTGTCTCTGTTGATACGTTCTCTGCTGTCACTCTCCAGTGTGCCTCCTCTCTCCGAAGGCGGGTCTTCAGATGCTGGTGTCACAGGGACCAGATCTGGGCCAAACAGACTTGCCACTTCCCGTTTCCCAGTCCTCCCCGTGAGGCCCTGGCTGTGTGCTCGGTCCACATCCATGTGCTCCCACACATGTGGCTCATCCTTGCTCCAGATCTCCCTGTTTGCTCGAAGTGCTTGCATTTCTGCGTCTTCAGCTTTTCCACGATGGTCAAAAAAAGCACGAACAGCATCATTTAAGTAGCAGCAATTGACTTCATGAGAGATTTCTTCAACCTAAGAAGGAGAACAACCCTTCAGAGTGCACTGAGCTGGAGTGGAAATCAACACTCTATCCTGGACCAATTCACCATCAAAATCCAGGAGCCAGGATGAAACCCTGGCCCCCCTACCTCAGTGGGGTTCAGCCAGGCTCTAGGGTGGTGTGGATCCTCTGCCGTCTTCAGGGCACACACGAGCATGCGGGTGACTGCCTCTTCCACCCGGGCGAGGTGGTCCTCTTCCTAAGGCGAGATTTAAAAAAAAAAAAAAAAAAAAAAATCAAACCCACCATTTTGTTCTTTGTCTCTGTGCCTCACGATTTGAGTCTGTTAGCTGTATGCTCTGTTTCCCAACTGATGCCAACTTTGTCACAGAAGGAACCAGGGTGCTGCTGGGAACACCGGAACTCTCGTGTGGCCATTATCATCTGTCATCTACGAGAGTGTAGGACAGACAGTTCACCAAAGTTAAGACTGCAGTTTTTTAGAAGACACAGGCCTTATATACAAATGACCTTAGATATTTTTTTCTAATCTCTTCCAATTCTTGATATGTCCAAAATCTTTTTAAAGTATTAACCACATGGAATAATGATCTTTATGGAGTTTGACAGCAAATCATGTGAAAAACAGAGGAGTGAGGGTCTAGGCTGTGGGGAGGTTGTCACACAGGGGTGGAACACATGCTGCCTCCACAGGGGCCTGGACGGGAGAGGCTGGGCATGGTGACACAGGCCTGTAGGGGACCGCTTGGAGTCTGGAGTCTGAAATCTCTCAAACATGCTGACGGGCTGGAGGGCCACTGGAGGCCAGTCTGGGTTACAGGGAGGCTGTGTTTCAGAAACTTAAACAAAAAGTGGCAAAACATTCAAGCAGACTTCTTCTTCTTTTTTTTTTTTTTTTTTTTGGTTTTTCGAGACAGGGTTTCTCTGTGTAGTTTTGGTGCCTGTTCTGGATCTCACTCTGTAGACCAGGCTGGCCTTAAACTCACAGAGATCTGCCTGGCTCTGCCTCCCGAGTGCTGGGATTAAAGGCATGTGCCACCACCACCCAGCCCAAGCAGACTTCTTAATAAACAAGGGTACACCAAGCAGCATTACTGATAAGCGGAATTAAAATCAGCAACTACTATTCCCTAAAAAAACAGAGTAAGAGAAAAGATTCTGTGAAGGCAATATGAAGGCCTAGACTTGACTTTACAGACTCCATCTTAGGGAAGGGCCACCATCTCAAACCACCTGCTGTACTCAGTTCCAGGAAGGACCTCAGGAATGTGCCATGACAACTCGAACAGACACAGGGCAGTATGCTCCTGCAGACATTCTGTCTGTGGTTTATGGCCCTTGAAGATATCTAGATAATCCTGCTGAGCAGCCCAGATAATCCTGCTCAGCAAGTTGTGGTTCCTTGCCAGAAGTCCAACCCAATAGTTTCAAATGCGGTTTTGTGCCAAAAGTCTAGACCAATAGTTTCAAAAAATCACTTTTTTTGAAATATCCCTTCTACCCAATCCCAAATTGCCAAAGCATGTAATTCCTGGCTTGCAGTTTTTCCCTATAAAAACTCTCTACCCCTGGGCCCGCTACCAGCGTGGCATTTCCCTCCATCTGCCCAGTGTTGGTCCAGGTTCGAACCTGACAATAAAGAGACACTTATGTGCTTATATTGGAAACTGGCTCCTTGGTGGTCGCTGGGGGTTTCAAACTAGATGTCTTTAATATACATAACTAAAAACAGATCACTATATAGAACATACAAGGATTTTGCACATATTAGTAAGAATTTTTTAAATGGGCAACAGACATGGAGATGAACATTTTGAAAAAGACCAATCATTTGACTAACAAATGCCTGAAAACACTGACTTTCAGGAAAATCACAACTGAAACTCTCAAAAGAGGGTCTGATAATCCATGTGCCAAGGAAATGTAGACTGACAGACACAGTCTTAGTAAAGATAGGGGTGCACACTGTGAGGGACCCCTGGAAACCCGCTGGCATTGTCTCATCAACTGGAGTCCTGTGTACTCCACAGATCAGCCACCGCTCCTGGATCTACACACTACCACTGGAGAAACCCTTGCACACGTATGTCAGAAGAAAACTGCAAACAATTCAATTCTCCACCAACAGAACAGCCAATAACAACTACACAGTAGTACCTTGATACAGAGACCAACAGGCTATAGGAAAATGAGAAAAGCTGTACTCAACAACAGCCAGGTCTAGGAAACACGGTAATGAATTTAAAAAGGAAATCCCCACAGTGAGATCTCACTTCACACTGACATGGCTACAATATAAACAACAGATATTTACAAGTGTTAGTGAGGAAATCAATCTTCACACATGGCTGATGGGCACATGAAATGGTGCAGGGACTCTGGGAAGTGGGTGGGAATTAATAGGTTAAACAGAGAACTAACGTGGGATGATTTGCGGGGGTGGGTAATGTTCTGAGTCAAGCTGGCTAGGCATTGATGCCCAGGTGTTCAGTCCAGCCCAAGTCGAGATGACACAGGAGGAAATCCCCCGAGATGCTGTTAGTCAGCGTTGACTTTGGGTGAGTCAGACTACATAACAAATGGGAGTGTTCTTCATTCACTCAGCTGATGGCCTCAAGAGCAAAAGGCTGAGAAGGGACTGTGTCAGGACCGCAACAGAACTCCTCTCTAAGCTGGTGTGCATTTGTACCTTCCCAAGAAAAGTCCCTGGAACAATGGGTCATACAGTTGGTCAGAGCTCTCCAGATAGAGTACCAGCAGATATGCGGATGGAGATACACAGCCAACAAAACACGAAAGTAGATAATCAGCCTGAAAGAGGGCTGGGAAAGGACAAAACGCAGATACAGTCATTAGTGTTTTAGTTTGGGGTTAATTAGGCAGTGAGCGGATTCACTGATACTATATTGTCTTTAAAAAACAGATTTATTTTAATGTTATCTAGGTGTATGTGTTTGTTTGTGCATGTCTGTGCAGTACCTGTAGAGGCCAGAAGAGGATGTTGGATGCCCTAGAACTGAAGTTAATAGGTAGGTGTGAGCCACTTGACATGGGTGCTAGGGACTGAACTCTGGTCCTTTGAGAGAGTACTACATGCTGCTGACTGCTGAGCCATTGATCCAGCCCTTGAGACTATATTATCTTTCATCTTACAAATATGTTGCATATACATTCTCTTTACATGTACAGATATAATACAAAGGCATATCAAAGGAAATATTCAAAGAATGAGAGCAAATCTTTAAAATTAAAAAATTTTTTCTAAGCTAAGTTGAAATAAAATACTGCTACAATTGATACCTTTTGATATGCAAAAATGATTTGAAAAGGGAAGAGAGGCACTACTAGGACTATCTGAGAACACACTTTACCCTTGAGCGTGTAAGGGCAGAATCTGCCTTTCAACAGTGAAACCCCCTGACAAGGGCTAAACACTACCACCTGCACCGAACCAGAGCCTACTAGCTACCATCCACAAGACTCAGGACAGGAACGTCAGAGTGAGTTAGGAATGCTAATTAATTTAAGCTTCCCAACCACACTCCCCGCTGGGTTCAGTGACAATCACTGAACGTGCCTGGAGTGAGCCATCTGCTGGGACATGGGATATGGCAGGTGTGATTCTTGTCGTGGACTCCATCTTAGGGTTCCTCCAGCTGCAGCTCCAAGCAGATGTTCTAACTGTGAGGTTGCTGTCTCCCAGCATACTTCTCACCTCAGCCCTGAGGCTATGTGTCCCCTCTCCCTAAGCCCTTAAGTACAGCTTGCTTCCTGTTACAGTAATTCTCAGGCTCCACCTACTCCAAAGTCCTTCCCATAAGCAAAGGAAACACCTCAGCACAGGGAGGGTGCAGCTGAGGAAGACAGCAATGTCGGGCTTCGGGTTAGGGAGGGCAGGGAAGCAACCAGAGCCCTTCAGGGGCGCAGATGCAATCAAAGGCTACAGTTAAGGCTAGTGCAGCTGCAACTGAGGCCTCAGGTAACGGGACAGACTTGGGTCGGCTGTCTCTGTGGGTTTCCCCATCACGATCTTGACCTCACTTGCTCCTGTGATCCCTCCTCCCTCTCTTTAACTGAAGTCTAGGAGCTCAGCCCAGTGCTTGGCTGTGGATCACTGCATCTGCTTCCATCAGTTACTGGATGTAGGTCCTATGATGGCAATTAGGGTAGTCAGCGATCTGATTATAAGGGAAGGTAAGTTCAGGCACCCTCTCCATTGCTAGGAGTTTTAGCTGGTATCATCCTTGTAGATTCCTGGGGATTTCCCTAGAACCACGTTTCTCCCTGACCCTCTAATGGTTATCTCTTTCATTGCTCTCCCTCTCTGTCCCTCCTGTTCCCATCCCCCATCCCTTTCCTTCTACCTGCCCCTCCCAGTTTACCCAGGAGATCTTAACTATTTTCCCTTCGTGGGGCCCTCCATGTGTGTCCCTCTTAGGGTCATCCTTTTTACCTAGCTTCTCTGACCCACGCTGGTGGGAGCTCATGGACTCTGTCAGCTGGGGAACATGCATGGGACTGAACTAGGCTCTCTGAATGTGGGTGACAGTTATGTGGCTAGATCTGTTTGGGGAGCCCCTGGCAGTGGGACCAGGACTTATCCCGGGCGCATGAACTGGCTTTTGGGAACACATCCCTTAGGGTGGGACACCTTGTCAGCCTTGACACAGAATGGAGGGGGGGGGGCTTGGTCCTGCCTCAACTTAGTATGCCAGACTTTGTTGACTCCCCAAGAAAGGCCTTATCCTGTCTGGGGGTGGGATGAGGAGAGGTAGGGGGCGTGAGAAGGGGAGGGAGGGGGAACTGGGAATAGTATGTAAAATGAAAAAAACTTTTTTTTTTTTTTTTTTAAAAGAGAGACAGACAGACTTAAGCCTGGTAGCTATTGTACTGTCAAACAGAACAAGGGACCAGGATGAAGCTGTTCCTGGGAAAAGGATCCCGGCAGAAATGAAGGATAAGAATATAGTGCTGCATGATTCCACTTTAAGACAACGCTTACGGCAAGGTTAGACATGAGGACCCTGAGTCTGAGATGGTGTGGGATGGAACCAGCAATGCTGGACATACACTGCAGACCCCACCAGGTCCATCACGACATCAAAGGCCACTGTGTGTCCTCTCAGGGAGTAGCTGGGCACAGCAGCACCTGTCATCCCAGCATTTGGGAGGCCGAGGCAGGAGGACCGTGAGTTTGAGGCCTCTATAGAGATACCCCATCTCAAACTAAACACAACACAACCAACTCACATAAAATAAGAGAAGGGCACATCTCCAAAATCCCTATCTCCAACCTCAACATTTATCAAGAGAAGACAGAATCAGAGAACATGAACAAAATCATCCTGGAATGCTGGTCACACAGATTTAGTGGACAAAGTTTGTACACAGGCTTTACCTATCTCAGGGATTTTTTTTTTAAAAGACAACAACAAAAAAGTACCAGCTCAATCCAGGAGTTTATACTGACGGTGACAGGGTCAATGGATTCCACATAATGCCACCAGTGTCTGGGGACAAACAGAACCTGAAAATCAAACAAAAGATAGTTAACACGAGAACAGGGCACTTCTCACTCTAATTGATACTGCTAAGGGAAAAGAGACACACACAAATCCAAGGGAACAGAGTGACCGGCTTTCTCCTCGTCCTCCTCCAACTGGTGAGTGAGCTCAGGCTTACACGGGATGCTGGCAGCTTTCTACTCTTCTCAATCCTGCGAGTTCTCTGTTTACATCTAAGTTGTAGTAAAGGCTTTCAAACCCCAGCTTTTCCTCTTTCCCACTGCAAAGCAGTTGTGTACACTCTAGTGGCAGGAAACATGCACTCGGAAAAGCTCCCTGAGTCACAACAAAGGACCAGAGTGCTGGCGGAGGAGTGAGGCAAGCAGAACCCTCAGACATCATCGGTAGGAAGGTAAATGTCACTGTGGAGAACGCCAGCAACCTCTCAAAAGGTCACCTACCCTACTCTAAACACCCAAGGACCTTACAAACAAATGCTCACAGCAGCAACACCCGTCGCAACAGCTCATGAAATCGACCAGGTGGATCATCGCCATACACCTATGTAAGCAGGAACCGTTCAGCCTTGAAACATGTTCTGCATTAGGAGTCAGACACAAGGCCATATGTTGTATGGATGCATGTGTGATGCCCAGAATAAGATAATCTATGGAGATATAAAGTAAAGTAGTGGTTGTCGGGGCTGGAGGAATGAAGGGCAGTGCCCTGTGCAGAGACTGAAGCAACCTGACCAGGTCCACCTGTGTGAACTGGTCGGACATGTGTGCAGAGAGCAGGAAGAGAGCTAGTAGGGAGGGAGCAGCGGAGGGAGATCGGATAAGGACGATGGAGGGAATGAATTCTCTGAGAGACTGAGAAAACCTTCCAAATGCTAGGAAACTGGGACGGCAAGTGCCAACGTTGTAAAGGAAAATTTCCCCACAGGGTGGCAATGGGAAATAACAGTCTCTTTAGAAGTGATTCACAAGCAGTCAGCCAATCTTGCTGAAAAGCAAAGATCATCCTCAGTCCACCTCTGAGAGTCTGGATGCATGCAGCCTGTGCTCACCGTCTGCCGGAACAGGTATTAACTGTGAAAAAATGTCCTAGTCCCCACGCCCTAACATGATCTCTTAACCTGAGTAATAGTAATAGCTGCTCCAGGCTCTCTCTCAACGCCTATCCTCCTCTTCACCAGCAGGAGGTGCTGTGCGCCCTCTTCCCATCTCTCCAGGGCAGAGCTGTGGGTCTTTAGCCCACAGATGGGGAAGCCGACCTCCAGCAGCAGCAGGGCTGCGGGGGAGAAATCACTGTCATCTGTACTGAGGGAAGCACAGGCACCAGGCTGTGGTGTCCACTGACAGGTCATCGATGTTTAAAGCCCCATTACCTGTCCTGGGCTCAGTGTGACCGTATGTCTTCGAGCTTTCTGGAACTGAGGGAAACGCTTTAAATCAGGGTTGACAACATTGATTTTACTGAACACACTGGACTCTTCGTAAGGGATTCTGGTTGGATAAAGGAAAGGCGTATCTTCAGGAGGAAAGAGATGCCATCTTTTCCTAATGAGAAAATAAGATACAAGTTAGAGTTCTCATAAACATGTAAGAAGGTAGCAGCCCACTGTTCGGTCTTACTAATTTCAGTTCAGTTCATACAGGCACACAGACGCCACCACAGTGTCACCCGGCCTCTCACTCACAGCTGATCCCCTGCAGATGTCTGGTGGAAGGCTGCTCTCTGGCGGGTTTCTCACGCCTTCCCAGGGCAGCCCCTCTCGTGGCAGGGATAGGATCTCCTTTGTGCTTTTTTTTTCTTTTTCTCTTTTTTTTTTTTTTGCATCTTATATCAAAGCTTGCTTCCTTACCATTGATTTCACTCCTCATATCTTGAAGCTAACCAGAATAATCTTTATCCTTTCTGTATTCTTTTTTATTACACTTTGTTTTTGTGTACATATGTGTGCTATGTGCGTATGTGTCATACACATACATGTACATGTACGTGGGGTAAGAGGTTAATGATGGTGTCTTCCTCACAATGCACAGCCTTAACTCTTTTTTTTTTCCTGGTCTTTTGAGACATGGTCTCAGTATGTAACCTCATTGGCTGTCCTGGAACTTGCTATGGAGACCAGGTTGGCCTCATACTCATAAAGATCCTCCTGCCTCTACCTCCGAGTGCTGTGATTAATGGCCTGTGCCAACACAAAGGCATGCCACTTTATTTTTGGGACAGGATCTCTCTCTGAACCCAGAGCTCAGATTGAAGAGACTGTCTGGCCAGTGAGCCCCTGGGGCCTCCTGTCTGTGCCTCCCTCTGCATCTGAGCTACAGACGTGTACCACGCCTGGCCTTTTATGCAGTGCTGGGTGCTGGGTACTGAACTTACATCAACATGTTTGTGCAGCCACATTTTACCAACTGAGCCATCTCCCTCGCCCTGCAAATGTCTGTACTCTAATATTATCCCGGATAAACCCCCAGACCTCTCCCCAGCAAACAATTTCGAGACTTCTCCTGTCTGGAAGGTAGACATGTTAAGTTGATTTAGTAAGAACGAGAACTAATGCCACATGCCCCAAAAGTAGTATAACTGAGGATCTTTGAAAAAGAGAAAACTGTTTTAGAAACTTTTTTTTAAAGGAATGGAGGTAATAAATCTTATTTCTCTAAACTCTAAAAAAAAATCCATATTTTACAGTAATAGAAGAAAGAGTCTGGAGCCAAAGAAGGCGGAAGTGTGAACAGAGATGAAGGAGAGCTGACGGGACCAGAGGAAAAGAACCAAGCCCCCGTTCTGAGGGAAACAGGCCCTCCCGTGTGTGAGCACAGCAGTCACCCCAGGACCACCAGTCCTTTGTGAGCAGGAAGCAGTGGCTGCCGCGTTCAAACTACCAAGTACATACTAAAGTCCTATTTCTCTTGGGAGCTCTGAAGGTTTCAGAGAAACAGTGAAGTGCCTGACTTCCAGAACTCCAGGGAAGCCTACCAATCACAGAGCCCCTGGGTAAGGACTGCTGAGCTGCAGAAGCCTGACTGACTGACGATGGTCTCTCCAGGAATGGCTGTTCCACTCCACAGCACCTGCTGCTAGTGTGGAAGCCATCTTTGGTTACTTGGTATGTTCAGAAGCTAATTCTGGAAGGGCTCTGAAGAGATCATTAGTCTAACTTCATTTCCAAAGTAGTAGTAGAGAGAGATTCATGTCTGCTTGGTGTCCCTTAGGCTCATGGGGACCCAGAACACGCATCTCTTGGCTTCTCCCTACACCAACGAAATACTTCCCAGAGGAAGAGCCATCATAACCAAGCCGTCCATCTGCTTTGCTTGGCTCCATCCACACCTCCACACCTTCAAATGTGCCCTCCTCCTAGCAGAGAACTGTATCACTATGCCACCCCCTGCCCAAAAGCCTCCCATGGTTCTGAACATGGAAGGAATGGAGAATTGGGGTGTCTGGCTGGGAGTCAAGACCTTTATGCCCTACCCTGATTATTCTGCCCAGTCCTACTGTTTCTAGTTACAATTTACACAGGGTCCTCTGCACAGCCGATACTTTCCAGGGTCCCTGTGTCCCTTCCACCTGAGTGATACAGACGCTCACTCGGCTTCAAAGCCCTCTACACACAGCGGCTGATCCTTCCTACAGAAGCACTGTCTACCACCTTCAAGAGCATCCTTCCTGCTTTCCTTCAAGAGCATCCTTTCTGCCTTCATCACTCTCTGCGGGCACCCCAGGTGGGGATGCTCTCAGGGCAGTGTCCTGACCACCTCTGTACTTATTCTAACACACAGAACTGGATGGACACTCAATAGACGTTTACTGAAGCTATTTTATTACATCAGAGTGCCATGAAAAATGGAAAATACACTTAGACAGTTAGGGTAAAGCTATATTTTTTAATCAAAGAAAAAAACTGGAATTTTTTTTTTTTGGTTTGCTTCCCAAATCAGAGCACACAGAAGAGGCAAATTTAAAGCAATGCTCTATCTCATAACACATTCCACTTTCCAAACTCTTAACTGCAAAAGGGCAGAGAATATTCATACCTGACTCACTGCTGACTCCCCCGTATACAACAGTGTACCTGAAAGGGAACAGACATGGAACTGCTAAGCCCCTCCATAGCTCCCCAGCTGACCTGCAAACACCCCTCCAAACAGAAACTATTTCTCTTGGATCTACTCCTCATTTTTGTGTCCAGTGATGCTGGGAATTTGTGTCCATTTCTGGCTTTTTCTAGGAGTTGCCCTGTAAATGTTGCAAAGGGTCAGAAGGAAAGTCTGGAGCAGCATTTATTAGGGGAAATGAGGATGCACCTATGACAGCTGAGTGCATCCTCTCCATATGACACCTGATACATCCTCCAGGTTGCCAAACTCCGTATTTTGAGGTGCTGGCCACTCAGTTCTGCCACTTAGTCAGGTGGAGACAAAAGCTCATGTGCAGAATACACCAGCAGACACAAACTCACAAACCAAAATTCAGTCAAAGTGGGGCATAAAAACCCTGTGCCCCCTCACAACCTAAGGCAGAGCACCTGTGTGGCCTGGGCAGGTGTCTCCATGACGGGTAAGGTGACCTGCTGATGTCCCACACAACCTAAGTCAGAAGCTCATTTTTTACTAAAAAGGGGGGGGGGCCTGTAGGGCCCTGGCCCCCCATTTTGGGTAGCTGTTGCCTTGCTTGCTGACCTTGACCAGATGTCCTCCCTATGCTGATTCCCTGCTGGCTTCCTTCCTCCTGAACACTCACCAGAGGTTCCTTGTCTGTGTATCCTGCATATTGGGCATTAACAGCTTAGATGCAAGACTGTGGAACATCTGTAGCGAACTTCTGCCCTCCGGGGTTCTCCCATTATGCTGTAAGCCTGTATTTAAGGTTTCCTCCCTCCTTCAATAAACGGCATTCATGACAAATGACTGTGTTGTTGCTTAAAGATTCGTTTTATTTTTAACTATGTGGATGAGTCTGTGTACACGGGTGTCCACACAACCTAAAGGTATCTTATTTCCTGGAGCTGGAGCTACAGGTGGTTGTAAGCTGTCCAATGTGGGTATTGGGTACTGGGAACTAGGAACTGATCATGGGTCCTCTACAAGAGCAGTAAGTACTCTTACCCAATGAGCCATCTTTCTAACCTACTTTGTTATTATTGAGACGAGGTTTTTTCCATGTATTTCAGGCTGGCCCGGAGCTGGTGGGCTTCAGCCTCCTGAGTACTGAATTACAGGTGCATGTTGCTATACTCAACTCTCAATTGTGTCCTAAAATTTTAAATCAAATATTCTCTCAGTATGTGTGTGTTGTGGAACATTACTTCAAATATGTAAAGATGTGTTACATTTGGGTATGCTGCATTTGCTTAACGATGTAAAGATGTGTTGCTGTTTCACCTTGCCTGCCTAAGGTACCTGACTGATCGAGGGATAGGCAGGGCTGGTGGACAGAGAGAATAAGTAGGAAGAGGAATTCAGGCTCAGGAGAGAACAAGGAAAGAGCGAAGGAGAGAGAGGGAGATGTGGGGGGTGGGGGTGGGGCAGCCAGGCAGCCACCAGCCGGCAGACACAGAGATGGACATACACAAAGAAAGGTAAAAAGCCCTGAGGCAAAATGTAAATGAAGAGAAACAAATTAATTTAAGTTAAAAAAAAAAGTTAGCCAGAAACAAACATAAGCTAAAAAACCCCCACAAAAACAAAAACAAACAAACAAACAAACAAAAAACCCTGTGCCCCAGGCGTCCTGGCACTTGTCAGCATCCCCAAGGTCACAGAGAAGCCTCTTTCTTTCAACAAACTTTTCTGTTCCTATTCATTTGAGAGGTGGAGGAAGGGAGTGAAATGTCAACATTCCCAGGTAAAAAAGCTAAGCAGAGGATGCCTAGCAGGATGGGGACTCGGAGAGAATCCTGATCATGCTGAGACACATGGAAGTCATTTCATGTCCCCTCACTTCACACAGAAGGAACAGTGGTGAAGAGAAGAGCGCCGTGGTCACAGGCTGGTGGGCAGGATGGGGGTGGGACTGCCATCAGACCCCACCTTTTTACTTTTCTCCTTGGCTCCTCTGTGTGCAGACATGCAAAACTGGACCCGCCCGCCCGCACTCACGCACGCGCATTACCTTCCTTGGACCTGGAATACCAAGTTGCAACCATAGGAGTCCAGATGGCAGGGAGTATGGGCTCCTAGGGAGCCAATCCACAGTGTACTCTCCTGTCCATTTCTTCCGGGAAACCCAAAGTCAGACCACATCACCTCCTGTTAGAAAAAAAGGGCAGTCCATCAGGAACTGACCATCCTCTATGGTGGTGCACACGTTTACTTTTTAAAAAACAACCGTTTTTAGTGCTTATATTTTCTTACAGAAAATGTTAGAGATGGGAAGGGTTAGGTTTTCAGGGTAGTATGAGAAAAAACTTTTCAAACAATAATATCTGAATAACCTCGGTAGTAGCGCCATTCAACAAATATTTACTATTTATAACATGCTGGGAACTGTTGCGGAAGCTTGTGACAAATCCATGAATAAATTACGCCCACCAGGTGTGACTCCTACACCTGTTAGAGACAATAAACAACAGGCATAAATCTGTAGCTCCCTGGGGCAGAAGTGCTGCAGGCAGTGAGGATGTCATGGAAATTCAACTCAGGAGGCCACAGGCCCCTAAGCAGAGACAGCACCTGTGGGCATGAGCACTTTATTACCGTTTGCACTTCCATGGCCACAGAAAAGAAGCCTTATGGGTGAGTTCAGTCATTTAAAGCTACCCATACCACAGCCGTAGCTCATGCCTACTGAGCCAGTCGAAAGCAGGTGGGTCACAGCGTGGCTTTTGAAACTGTCATCCCAGCTGATTGATTCTGCTCTCTGCCCCAAGCCATGAATCCATGAGTGTAATAAAGACAGCACACTGCTGTAGACCAGGGCTCCCCTGGGCAAGGAGCTGAGGCAGGTCCTGCCCACACTCATAAGCCGGAAAGGAAAACAGCTACAACACAAGCATGCGAATGTTGGTGTATCCTTTAGTCATTCATTTTTCCTTTTTTTGTTTTTTCAAGACAGGGTTTCTCTGTGTAGTTTTGGTGCCTGTCCTGGATCTCACTCTGTAGACCAGGCTGGCCTCGAACTCACAGAGATCCACCTGCCTCTGCCTCCGAGTGCTGGGAATAAAGGCGTGCACGACCGATGCCTGGCTTTGTTTTTTTAAAGAATAAAACAAAAATACTTTAATTGGCAGAGTACTCTCACATAAATGCCAATGCCTCAAAAAACTATCTGCAACCTACATTCTCCTACTTTTGAGGGGCAATATTAACAGCTTTATTCAGAGAGAAAAGACTTTTAAAAGTCATTCAATGGACGGTTTTGCGGGAGACTAGAAAAACATTTTATTTTAAGATAGTAGTTGGTCAGGGATATCCAAGAGACTCCCCAAACATTATAAGCTATTGCTATTGCTCTTGGTTGTGACCCCAGGGTCAGAAGGTGAATGAATCTCTACCGCTGAAGACACATACATATATCTGTAGCACAATTAAAGGAAAAGAGGCTATGAATTTAAAGAGAAAGGAGGGGTACATGGGTGGGTGGGGCTGGAGAGAGGAAAGGGAAGGGGGAAATGATGTAATTATAAATTATTTTTAAAAAGAAATGAGGTTATTTAAGGAAAATTTAAGTAGAATGCCTTGCTATGTTTAAATGATGGGTTTTGAAAGGATGAAAAATCAATTATGGCTTTAAAGTTTGGCTTAAATTCATAAGATAAGGATCTTGGAAAACATCCAAATTTACGGATGGTGGAAATAACAGAATAATACATTAAAGAAAGATGTCTAGGATAAGTGGGATAGAAGTGACACATAAGGGGATGTGTTTCAAGGGGATGGCTCAGTTAATACAGTGTTTGCTGTACAGGCACGAGGACCTGAGATCAATCCCCAGAACTACCACATAAAAATCTGGGCTTGGCAGCCCACTTTAATCCCAGTGTTGGGGAGGCAGAGACAGGAAGAAGCCTGGGGCTCTCAGGCTAGCCAGCCTCACCTAATCAAGGACTTCTAGGCCAAGTGAGAGACTGTGTCTCAAAAACCAAACCAAAACAAGGGGATTAGACCTGAGGAACAGCCAGTGTTGACCTTTGGTCTCCATCTTCCCCCACTTCTCCTCCCCCCATGTTCACATGTCCCTGCACATTCAGGTGCTCTCCTACACAAGTATTTCATGGTAAGACCAAATACAGCACATCTCCTGAATAGAAGAGCATTGTTCACTCACAGTTAACACATGATGGGACAAATTACAGACAGGTTGGCCCATGAAAGTGATCTTGGTTCATAACACAGAAGCAGGGCAGACACTGTCCTGTCTCTTTGGGTGGCCCTGCTTTACCATGGTGTTCTGAATATAATACGTGATTTATACCTAATGATGGTTTTATTTGGTATGGACGTATGCTGGTCCAGTTCCTCACAGAAGAAATGAAGGTTCAAAGGCAGGCCTGACACTTTGTCACACGGGTGAAGGTGAACATTCACAGGGAGACACTGCGAGTACACTAAGAAGTATTTGGAAAGGGTCCCCCGCCCCCAATCTATTTTCCACTGAGGTAAAACGTAACTATGATGAACTGCGCCATTCTGGAGCAGAGTTCCACATGCCTGACAAACGCAGACACCGGTTATCTGGTTCCGAGAAAGATCAGCCATCCTTCCATCACTCCCCGACGCTGTCTCTCGCTCCTGGGGAGGCAATCCTCCTGCTTCTACAGCCCGGCCAAAGGACCTTCTAGATACACATACCAACAATGAGACTCTACACCGAAAGTTTCTTTTCTTTCTTTTTTAAAATTTTCATTTATTTATGGTGTGTGTCTTAGGTGTGTGTTCTGAAGGACAGAACAATTTGTGGGAATCAGTTCTCGCCCTCGACCATGTGGGTTCTGGGGATCAGACTTGGCAGCAGGTACCTTTACTCACAGTGATCTCTCTGGTTCACCTTTTTTTAATTAAAAGGGTCCCTACTTCACAAAGACTCCTGAGCCTTAGGGGTGGTAGTATAAATATCCTATTTAGGACCATCAACCCTCACTTTGTTTCAGAACTGTGAGGACTCTGAGGGAGAGGCGGGCTTATTTTCATTGTGTACCTGCTAAGGAGCCCAGCAGGCTCCAATCCACGTTCACACAGATGATCCATGTTAAACTCAGAGGGGCTCAGAAAACATAACCTCTCCCCAAACAAAAAACACGAATGTGGGAAGGAATTTTAGGAGGTTTAATAGAGTATGGTGCAGATTAGAGAGGTTTGAGTAACGTGTGTGTGTGTGTGTGTGTGTGTGTGTGTGTGTGTGTGAAACTGTCACACTTTTTTTTAAAGGGTCCCCCCCATAGGGAGGCAAAGGCAGGCAGATCATGGTGGTGTGTGTGTGTGTGTGTGTGTGTGTGTGTGTGTGTGTGTGTGTGTATATAGATAGATAGATAGATAGATAGATAGATAGATAGATAGATAGATAGATAATGAGTGAATTTCAGGACAAAGATTCTGTCTCAAACAACAACAACAACAAAAGTAAACAATTAAACAAAAGGGTCCTTAACACGTTAAACAACAGAAACTTTAAACTCTACAGTAAAAAATAAAGTATGTCTCAATATTCTTGATAGTGTACTGCATCCCTAAACTATTACCAACATTTAAGGGACAAGATAATAAATTAGAAGTGCACTGAATTTTGGCAGAAAACACACTTTTTGGTGTGAGTGTTGGTCCTATCTTTTGGCACAGGCTTTAAAACACTGTCTTTTTAGGGTTTCTGTTGCTGTGAGAAAACATGACCAAAGGGACTTGGGGAGGAAAGGATTTATTTCACCTTACACTTCCAGAAAACAGTCCAGTACCAAGGAAGTCAGGGCAGGAACTGAAACAGAGGCCACGGAGAGGTGCTGCTTACTGGCTTGCTCCTCATGGCTTGCTTGCTCAGCCTGCTTTTGTACACCCCAGGATCACCAGTCCAGGAGTGGCGTCACCCACAATGGGCTGGGCCCTCCTACATCAATCATTAATCAAGAAAATGCCCCCCAGCTGGCCTACAGCCCAGTTCTATGGAGACATTTTCTCAAATGAGGTTCCCTCCTCTCAAATGGCCCTAGCTTGTGTCAAGTCGACATAAAAACTACCAGGACAAGTACCATGACAGCTCAGTCTCTCACTAAGGCGACTTCTTCAATAACTATGGTGCTGAAGCACAGCACTTTTGAAAAAACTGCTGGGTTACTCACAGGAGCTCCTTGGCTGTCTTAGAACTCAGACCAGGCTGGCCTTGAACTCAGATCCACCTGTTTGCCAATCTTTGCTGGGATTAAAGGTGTGTGCCACCATGCCAGCTCCTAAATAGCTCTTAAACCTGTTCCAATGAATGAGTTCAATAACCATCACGGATTTTAAAACTGCTGTACACATAATAAAGTCATCCATATTTTTATAGTTTTAACAACAACAAAAAAAACCACTAAAGAAAAACTGGTAGGAAGTTTATAAAGCAGAATAATGACTTCCGTTAGTGTACCACAAAAACCAATAAACAAAATAAAATAAAAGTTAAAAATCCATGATTAAGTTACTTAGTTTCATAGGATATGATTTGAGAAAACAATTAAGAAAGTATTTCCACGTGGTCTTTGTCCTGGTCCTCACTTCACAGGGAAGCATCCGAGGCCCAGATGTAAACGAGCTGATGTTAATGGCGGACCACTGGGCTCCAATGCCTGGCTCAGGACTGTTCCTCTGTCACTGTTCCTGTCACTGTCTCGCTCTAGTTACTTTCCATTCACAGGTCATACTATAGAAAAACCAATTTACATAATTCCACAATGAACTGACACCTGAATAAACAAAAAATCAATGTTGGTAAAGAGCAATAAAACTGGGACTCTGAAAAATAACAAGACTGTTAACTATCATTAATATACAGAATTTAAATTCTCTCTCTCTTTTTTTTTCCCCCCCCTCAGGAAGATGACCTTCAGGTACAGAATCAGAAGAGGTCAGTAAGTCTCTATCTACTGGGTAAATACCTAAATTCTATTTTCTATTTTTTTAATCACATGAAATCTTAGGTGCCGATCTGTCTCACCAGAAAGCATCCCTGTCTGAGACTCCTTTAATCATTTCCAAAACACCTGCTTCCATTTCAACACATCCTCACAGCTATGCTACAAAGTCCAACAGGTCTGAACTAATCTTCCCATTATTGCTTTTGC